ACAAATGGATGCACCAACCTGATGAGCAGTAAGACAGCTCAACAACTAAACCTGATCCATTTTTCTCTACAGACAGGCCCGACAAGCATATCTGATCAGTTCCCTCGTTTGTTTGATGGTGCGATGGGTTGCATCAAGAATGGCAAAGTAACTCTCCACATTGACACATCTGTAACCCCAGTTGCTCAAATTCATCGCCCGTGTTCCTTTTCATGTCCGCAAAGATGTAGAAAATGAGCTAGAAAGACTAGAGAGTCTGGACATCATCGAAAAGGTCGAAGGCCCAACACCATGGGTCAGCCCCATAGTTGCTGTTCCCAAAACAGGTGGAGTGCGTCTTTGCATAGACATGCGGGAAGCCAATCGTGCAATTAAGCGAATCAAACACCCGATGCCGACTATTGATGACCTGATAGCGGATTTAAATGGTGCAACAGTTTTCAGCAAGCTAGACATGAAGAATGCATACCATCAGCTAGAATTAGATGAGGCAAGCAGATATATCACAACATTTACCACCCATGTAGGTCTCAGGAGATACAAGAGACTACTATTCGAGTCAACGCAGCAGCTGAGATATTCCAGAATACAATATCAGAACTTTGAGGGACATCTCAGGAGTGAAAAATCTCTCAGATGATATCATTGTTTATGGAAAAAACCAAACAGATGCGACAGAAAACTGAAACGCGTGCCCTAAAAGAGACTCGATGAGAGTGGGGCAAAACTCAACAAAGAAAAATGTCTCTTCTCTGTCAAGGAGCTAAGATTCTATGGTCATGTATTTGGAGAGACTGGAATTTCTCCAGACTTGGTGAAAATTCAAGCCATCAGTGACTCTGCTCCACCAGCGTCTGTGACTGAAGTCCGGTCATTTCTGGGCATGACACAGTATGTTGCCAGATTCATCCCAGGATATGCCACTATCACAGAACCCTAAGAAATTTAACAAAGAAATCCACAATCTGGAAATGGGGAAAACATGAGCAAAGTGCTTTCAACAAACTAAAAGAAACACTCACCAGTAGTAAGGTCATGTCATATTTCAACCCCAACAAACCAACAGAAATCCTGGTGGATGCCAGCCCAGTAGGGCTAGGAGCAATCCTTATGCAGGAAGGTCGCCCCATTTGCTATGCAAGTCGAGCTCTCACAGAAACAGAGCAGAAATACTCGCAGACTGATAGAGAATATCTAGCCGTTGTGTATGGAGTTGAACATTTCCATATTTATCTGTTTGGGGCCCATTTTACAGTCATCACAGACCACAGGCCACTCATTGGAATCATGAACAACAGAAAACCCACCACAGCCAGGCTAGAGAGATGGCGTTTACGCCTAATGCCATACAGCATGGATCTGGTGTACAGACCTGGACGTGATGAAAACAACCCTGCTGACTACATCAGCAGACACCCCTATGAAATACCCAGACGTGATAATGCAGGAGAAACATATATCGCTTACATTGTGGAGAATGCAATACCCAAATCTCTCACAATGAGAGAAGTGAAATCGGCTATTGAAAAGGACCAACAACTCCAAAAGGTTCCATTTACGATGGACTTATCCTCAGACAAAACCGCATAATTATACCCGCAGCTCTACGACAGAAGACTATAGCCATTGCCCACCAGGCTCACCAAGGCATAGTCAAAACAAAACAATGCATCAGAGAAAAGTGTGGTTCCTGGAATTGATAGGTTCGTAGAAGATACAGTGAAATCATGCATACCGTGCCAGGCATCTCACCCAGGCCACAATCCCGTGAACCTCTACAACCCCACTACTACCACCAGAACCATGGAGTTCCCTTGCCATTGATTTTGCTGGTCCTTTTCCTTCAGGTGACTACTTACTTGTAGTCATAGATGAATACAACCCGGTTCCCTGAGGTAGAAATAATCTCATCCACCTCAGCAAGGACAGTCCTGCCAAAACTTGAAGCCATTTTCTCACGCCAAGGAATCCCTACCTCAGTCAAGACTGACAATGGCCCTCCATTCAATGGGGGAAGAATTCTCCAGTTCAATGCGTGAGTTTGGCATACAACAAAAAAAAATAACACCCCTCTGGCCAGAAGCAAATGGGGAGGTAGAACGCTTCATGGCCACGCTTAACAAAAACATTAGATCCTGTGTAGCTGAGGGCACACACACATGGAAGTCTCAACTACCCACATTTCTTCGGATGTATAGGGGCACTCCTCATACTTCCACCAAAATTTCCCCTTTTGAGGCACTCACAGGTAGAAAGATGAAAGTCGGCCTACCCATCTTACCCTCTCAAACTTCAACCCTGAACTACCCACATGGTAACATAAATGAAAAGATTTCTGCCAATGACTACATCAGCAAACAGAAGATGTGTGAGTATGCTGACAGGAAAAGGAAGACCTGCCTCTCAACACTTCAACCTGGTAAATTTGTTCTAGTGAAACAACAACAAAAAAACAAATTAACACCACCATTTTCCCCTCTGCCTTACATGATCACTCAAAAGAAAGGCAGCATGATAACAGCACAACGTGGCCAAAACAATATAACACGCAACTCATCCCATTTTAAACCCATAAAAAGCTTATCACCTACTTCTTTTGAAGGAGAAGAGGATGAAAATGAGTCTGAGAGACATTACCATCCAGCCCACATACCATCTTCAGCTGAAACCAGCACTAATGCTGCACCCACATCATCACCAATTCCCACCCCTTTGTTTGAACGGAGACTTCATCACCCACAACCCAAGAGATCGTCTCTAGACAACACTCCAGACCACAACGCCAAAGACACCCCCGATTTACCTAAAAAGACTATAAAACTTGATTGGACATTATACAAAAAAAAAAAAACGTCTCTAACTTGAAGTCCTCATCCAAAGTAAGGAGGATTGTTGTGTCCATTAAGAACAATAAACTACTATTCAGTTTAAATAGGGTTATTGCCCTTATATAAAAGGAACTCTCTGGATTGGGGTCCCTTTATAGGGACTTCCGGTACAGCTTTTTGTAAATAAACCCGTCATTTATTTTCCTTCGAGTTTGTGGCTCATTTAAAACACAATAGACTCTTCCACAACAAGCTAGTTAACACCTGCTAGGAAATGCACTACTCCTGTTATAATTTTCACCATCACAATCTTACAAAATATATAACAAGCATCCATTGGTTAATCACCTTCAATCTAGTTTGCTGATTGGTCAGTTCCGACCAATCAAACCACATGCACACGACAAATCTGTTTTACCGCGTTTTCCATCTGAGCCAGTCACGTGATTCACGATGATATATAAACAGAACACGTGTAAACTCCCTCGAGTTTCTTTTCATTCATCTCTCTCGTGTGTCTCATTCCTTGCTGCCAAGATGTAATCTTCAAGAACTCCCGTCTTAACCTTTCTGGTCAGACGTTAAAGACCATTATCAACATTCATGCAAGTACAAACTCTGAAATCTCTTCCAAACATGCTAAAGAAACTTTATTCTTCTAAACTACAGTTTAATAATTACTTTCACTTTATGAGCTCAAATACAAATATTTACCTAATCTAAGAGACACAACTCTGTCTAACTTTTCAGTTCACATGAATGTATATCAAATACTTAATAAATTCAATTGTTATGTTTTGAAACAATATGTTTATGAATCTTTATTCTCTGTCTTGTATTAATTGTTGTGGATGGAAGATTATTGAACACACACAATTTTAAACCTTCTGATAATTCAAACCTTCTATTCCTCTCCAACACACATCACACATCCGCAACAGGCTTTCATATTTTTTTGTTTACTTATGGTGCAAATTTTTTAAAGTAGAAGCAGGGTTGTAATATTACAGTCGTTTAATCTTTGAATATTTTAACAAGTAAGGACATACCCTATTGGCAAAAATGTATTTTTTCTATATTTTTTCCAAAAAGTAAGTAATATTTTCACAAAACCTGATTAAATCCTTAAATTTACTCTTTTTCTTTGAAACAAATGGCTGGAACAGATATTGGATTTTTAAGAAATTTTAAAAATGTTTTGTTTGCATCCATTCACTAATTGAACTAAGTGGAAGTAAGTTTGTCTTTATTTCTTGTTTTAAAAATATCTGAAATCTTTATTTAAAGACAAAATAATTTTTCGTTTTTTAACAGATTAGCTTTAGGCTATTATCTTTCAAATAAAACCATAATTTAACTTCAAAAAACATTTAAGTTATTTAAAATGCATTTTTTACTTTTTTAGAAAGTCTGTGAAGGTATCTAGAAAAGTACATAACCAAAATGTGAAAAATAAACAACCAAAGACGAGGAAAATAGTCTGGCTAAACAACAGACAATAATCTCATCCAACAAGATACTAAAATGATTTTTTACTTTTTGTTTTGTTGGTAAATAATTCTAATTACATGAAGTGGAGACCGACATTAAGAAAATTTTTTTTTATTTCCAAAATAAATCAGTTGATACAAATTTTTGTAATCATGACAGAACATTAAAACTTCTTTCCTGTTTATATTTATTTTAACAGATCAGATTTCTTGAAATATTTTTCTTAAATTTGGGTAAGTTGAAATAAATTAAAAAGATTTCAACACGTTATATGTAGATCCACTAACACCTTGTTCCAATGACTATCACTGATGGACATAACAAAACACTCCTTCACACAATCATAGCTCTCTACTGGCCTAGAGTTTGTCTTTGTGACAGTCTTTAAAGATGTCAATTTATGAGACTGAATCAGCACATCTATGTTCTGATGCTCATGTTTAGCTTTTTTTTTTGTACAAAAGGTAGTTAGGTAGTCTTGCTAAGGGTAAAAAAATAGTCAGACATTGTCCCTGCTTGTGACTAATACATATCCTTTCATATGGGTGAAGTAGTCTACTTGTGTGTGTACTTTTACACCTACCTCCATCTGAATATTCATTATGATCTGTATATCTACTCCTTTTACATACCAATAACTTTTTTAAATGATGAAAGATTTTACTTTAATTTTTTTTTCAGAAATGTAGTGAAAAAATCAGTGTGCTACGGCGTGATTATTTTCAAATAATGCAATTATCTGAAAATTACCAGTGGTCAGGTTGCAAACGCTACAACAGTAGTGGATATGTTTATCTCCACTGCCAAGGTACACGCAACTTTCGATCTTTCCGGCCACGATGGTGGTTCATTACAGTTGGACGATGCAAACCTGAGAACAATAATGTAAGTTTCTTTCTTTCTCATTGTACACCTTGGTGTCAGCATTTTTAAAAGTTTGAAATATTGAATGATTAAATGTAAGATCCTCAGAGCTTTAATATTAATTTTTTGTATAAAACAATATTTTTCATAGTATGATGGATAACATAAAATGTTATTCAGTTAACTAAAAATAAAAGATGATTTTTTTTTAATTTTCAGCATTAACCCCATTGAGCAACAATAGGGTCCAGGTTCCTGTTGTGATGTGTGTTTTTCAAGGTTTCCGTGAATCTCCCTTCCTCACCAGGAGAAGGACTATATATACAAGTCTATGCATTCATATGTAAATGAAGCAAGACTTATTTCAGTATTACTATAGTGCCTTTTGCAGATTACCAAAGAATTAAAGATTTTTCATTAAGAGAATTCTGTAAAGTCTGGAATAAATTGTAATCCAAAGATGCAAGATGTGGATGAGTGAAATTTTGTCATCAAAGCAACTTGCAGTGTTATCCTGACAGAACAAATTTCTGATACTTTTTGTTAATTGCTGCTTTTAATAGAGTCTAATTTGGAGTAGTACTTGTTCAAATCAACCATTTACTATTCTAGAACGAATTCATAGCAGAGGCCACCCATTCAATCTTACCAGATGCACAGGCATAACTTTCTTTGGATGCACATTTCAATTACCCAACAATTTTTTGTTGTCTATCTTGTTCAAGTGGATGGTTCAATCAAGGAAGAATTCTAAAAGAATTAAAAAATTTGGTTACTTGCTAAGATTTTAGGGAATGACCTAAGCTGAAAACTTTTCAGCTTCTCCTTGTAAAGTATCCACTTTTCATTGTCTTCTGCAGTTTGTTTAAAAGAAGAACATTGAATTATAGTTCAGTAGATTTTGTTAGGTCACTAAATAAATGTTGGGCAGATTTTTGCTGATATCTGACTGTTGAAGTAGATAACAAGTAAATTATATATACTAAGAAAAAATAAAGATGACTAGAGAAAAGTTGAAAGAAATCAATTTTTATGTTCTATAAATAAAAATATGCCAGCAAATACAAAAATATGTTACATGCTTTCTTTCCTTCTCCATGAATTGTGAAGAAGAAACCTGCTTTTCACAGGGTTTCTTTTGTTTAGGGCTAATGCAGGAAACTCGGTGGCATAATGGATAGTGATTTGGATTGAGGAATCAGAGGGCCAAGTTCAAATGCCAGTCAAGTTCATTACCTTCACATGTGATAATACCCTTGGGAAATGTATAAATCCATTTCTTCTCCCTTCATCTATGGGTAAACAGCAGGACAGACTGGGTCTTATAGCCTTGGTTGGCAACTAGTCTAGGAGAAGAAAAACATGAATTCAAACTAGCCTGAAGAGTGTTGAGATCTGTCAGGCTATCTTTCTAGGAAACACTACTGCTATTGTGACTGTGGTGCCCCTATAAATATAACAGGACTTATAATTGTGAATACTGAGGATTATTTATAGTCATGACTGCTAATTTCTTATTTATGCTGGTTGGGTTGTCGGAGGAAGTATATATGTAAGTAGGCTAGGGTTATGATCATGACTACTTTATGATCATGATTACTTTATATATTATTTATTTATAATTTATATTTTTACTCATTTAAACTATTTGTTTAATTTTGTATATTTTTCCTGTTGTTTTTACTATGATTTGGTGTTTGGAATAAAAGTCATGGAATTTTAATTTAGTCTTTTGCTTAGTATGTAGGTAGTGTAAAAAGAACTAATTTTCATGTCTGTTTTTACAAATGATTTCTAATCTGTTGTTTAGTAGTTTATCTTGTTCTGAGAATGTAATTATCACTATTTACTCCTTTTGGTAGGGTTGCTGTAAGCTGGTCCTATTTTTCTTATTCTCCATATTATTTTGGTGGGTTCTGGTTTGTGTTTTTGAGTTTCCATAAGTGCTTTGGTAGAGAAGTGCTATAGCATATTTTCTGTTCTTTAATGATGTTTTGTGTGTTCTTTATGAAAGAAGCTTAAATTAAATATTATGATTTAAAATGTTGATTTCTTGAAATGAACAGGTCAAGTTAATTTTTGATTATGAATAAAGTTGGATGAGAGAGAAATTTTTTTGTAAATTCTTTCCATAAACTAAGATTACCAACTGATACAATATGATCTTCACTTATACATCATAATGATTGTTCTGTTTACATCTTATAAACATGATAAAGAGGCATTTTGTCTATTTTTAGGGCATCAACTTGTCATACAATCTTCATTTGACCAATGGAGCCAAGGGAGATTACTTTTTCCGAGAATTGTCAGCAGATCAATTTAGTGAGTTATCTTTAGTATTTGAAATTTTGCAAATAAATGGATTTAACCAAATTTATACAAGTGGCATTTGGTCAAATTTGGTCACAATTAAAAATTTGGTCACTTTCAAATTAATTAAATTACAGTTAATTCAGTTAAAAAAATATTAAAACAAACAGATTCAGATGAATGGTTATCATTGTAGAGTAGGACAGGCAGCTGTATCATACGAAGGGACATTTATAAGAACAACACCAGTAACCCATTCATGAAATGGAATAACCCAGCCATGTGAAAGATGTGGCACATGTGTGAATAATGCAAATATATACAAAGCTAGTGGGAGGCCTGGGAAAGTGGACAGATTGCAACTGCCACTCAAGTACTCTACATGGCATCACCAATAGGATCTTTCTTTTAGAACTGCAAAGAATACCAACATTCAAATTGATGACTTTGAAACATGGAGATGAAACCAGCTATGGACCAACAATATTTGCAGCTTATGTAACAATTTGTTGAACTACAAAAGGAAAACATTACATTACAAAAAGAAGGCCTTGGTGGCCAGCCAAAAATGTTTCATGTCAGAAAACCAGAACCACCTATGATAGGACCAAATGCAACAGACAGTGACTGGGCAATGTTTATTGACACATGGACCTTTTATTAAGTGATGTGCGAACTAACAGACCCAGCAGTTATCCAGAATGAGCTGGGGATGGTGTGTATCCCAGAAGTAAACAGGCTGCTATTCAACATATTGGAGGCTGAGACACTCAACTCTACCACAGAAAAAAACAGCTGTTATGACAAATATGGCTCAAAGAAGTGCACAGGCAGAATTTTCACTCTAAGAGGTTGAAAGAGGAGGAGACAATGTATAATTTTGTGAGTTTATAGTTATTTGCCCAGACACAACAAACTGTGGCTGGCAAGTGAATTACTCCAGTGACATGGTAGCAGGGCTTGCTAATTTTGAACACCAGAGCAAAATATTAGTGAAGGTCACTACCCTCACCACTCTAGAGCAGAAATTCAACAGGTTAGTCAGCCTAGAAATGATGAACAAGTTGACCCCTTATCTCCACCCCATTATGTTATTCAATATGCAAAGGTCAGACTGCGAGCGACAGTCTCATAACCTCAAGACCTACTTAACCCCACAATATGCTAAGCCATGCAGAGAGTGTGGAAGGACTTCATATTCCAATGGATCAGTGGATTGGAAGGGCCACCCAGCAGCCAATTTGGGATGTTTGAATTGTGGATTAATTGGGCACACTGAGAGGGTGTGCTAGAGACCCAAAAAGGAGTCCGCCAATAGATCAACGATGAGCATGACAAAACAGGAATCTCATGTTCTCACCACCAAAGGGCACACAGAAGATCCCAGCAGGATGGCCTGCCAATTCAGACAAAGTAAACAGAAGGGTAAAGTCAACTCGGCACAACCAAAGGCCATGCCTCACCTCATCTGAAACAAGTTCTGAGGGCAGGGGGCTCCAGATCCACCACCATCCTTGAGGGTAAAAGTAACCATAATTTCGAAAACCCATGCTGAATTTGGGTGCACCTCCATGGGACCAACTAGCCAACTGTGGTTGCTGATACTTGGGCACAGACATGCTCTAGTAACCTTAGATATAGAAAGTTCTTAGAGGCCTAGACAAATACCTAGTGCCAACTAGTCACTGAATCCGGGGCATTACAGAGGACCAGCTACACATCAAAGGTGTAATATTCTCATATATCACATGAGAAAAATGCCAAACCACAAATGTGTTGAAGAACACATCCAGGTTTTACCTATCCAAATCGGCCTTGAAGGATTTAAGTCTACTACCTCCCAACTTTCTAATCACAGCAGAACATGGCATTCAATGGAAAGGCCTCATGTGGATGCCCTAAAAGAATGACCATCCCACCTAAGCTGACAAGCATCCCAATGACTCTGACAGGAGCAATGGATGCTGGAGTATTTTGGATCTAGCACATTCAACATATGTCCGCATGAACCACTACAGACCACGAAGAGAAAACTCTTGACCATCACCTTCATTCCAGGGACAACACCAACAGTGGACCACACTCCAATCCAGGTTCCACATCATTGGAAAGGAAGGGTTAAACAGGACATCAAGTGGGATGTTGCACTAAGCATCATCGACCCATTGTTGGTCAGTCAGTTGCACGGTAGACTTGCAGAAGCTCAATGCTGCTACCCTGAGGGAGACACACCATACTACATCTCCATTTAATCAGGCATTGATGGTGCCAGCATACACAAGGAAAAGTGTCCTGGATGCATGGAATGGGTACCATAGCCTGTTCCTCTTCCTAGCTGCACATGACACAAATATGTTCATCACTGAATTAGACAGATATTGATACCTTCAGGCCCCACAGAGATTCCACGCATTGGGAAATGCATATACTCACCAATTTGACAATATAACTTTTGATATGGTCTGAAAAATCCAATGTATTGATGATAACATACACTGGGATTACTCCATAGAAGCATCATGGACTATATTACTCACTGCAGCAACAACAGCATTGTCTTCAACCCAGAGAAATTTCACTTCACAGAAAAGGAGGTGGATTTCACTGGGTTCTGTATAATGGAGGACAGAATAAAACCCACTAAGAGGATGATGGAAGCAATTTTGCAGTTCCCTACACACCAAAATATTACCAACATCACATCTTGGTTCAGATTTGGGAACCAAGTCTCATATACATTCCAGGATTTGCTTTGAACAAAAGACTGGAAATTCTACTGAGACAATACACTTGACCAAATATTCAATGAATCAAAATAAAGGATTGCATGAGAAATGAAGGATGGTGTGAAGACATTTGAAGTCAGTAGGTCGATGTGTCTGTCAATGGACTTTGGCAGAACAGGGGTAAGTTACGTTCTATTCCAGAAGCACTGTAACTGTGTCATTGAAATGGGACTGATTTGTGGTGAAGACTAATTCTAGCCAGATCCTGATTCACCAGTGATACTGAGTTATTCTATGTACCAGTAGAGGGGAGGGCGCTGGTGCTAGTATATGGATTAGAGTCAGGTTGAATGTTCATGTTAGGATGTTCAGAACTACTAGTGATGGTGGACCACAAGCTCCTAATAAAAATTTTCTCAGACAAAGCTCTGGAGGTCATTAAAAAACCCATGACTATTCAACCTCAAGGAACACTCATTAATGTACAAATTCCATCTGAATTACTTCCCTGGCAAACTCAATGCTGCACTGGACTGTACATCAAGGTACTCTGCAACACCAAGACAAGATGGTACAACTAGTAAAGATTCAGCACAAATGTTCAACAGTGCTTTAAAGGCATCATTTAATTCCACTTTCAAACAAGACCCAAAGTTAAAGGTAACTCCAAAAGACAGTGACAGTTTTCTTCAACTTGTGAAGGAAAAATTATATAGTATATGCAGATCAGTACATGGGATGGGTAGAAGTTACCCTTATGTCATCTGGGAAGGCCAGAACAGCATATGACACCCTATGGAATTGGTTCTGCACAATGGTGGCCCAGAAGAAATATCATCCAATGGAAGGCCATTGTTCAATTCTCAGGAATATAATGTGTTCTTTGATAAATGGGGAATAAAAAAATGCACATCATCAGTGTGTTATCCTCAGAGTAATGGATGAGAAGAACTGGCCATCAAAACAGCCAAGCAAATATTGGTGGACAGCATCGACAGGCTATGGCTGCCTATGCCATGACTGCATGGCCAGATCCCTATTAACACACCATAATACCCCCATCCAAGACCTGGACATGTTTCTGGAATTGACGTTATATAGCTCTGTGATAAAAGACCATCTACCAGTCCTCCAGGTCAAATACTGAATTTGTAAATGGTTAGGGCGAGATCAGTCGGTATAGGGAGACAGCAATGACCAAAAGTGAATTAAAGAATGAAAAGTGTTACGATGCACACAGTCACTCACTTTGGGAGCTAGAGATTGGGGGATTGGTTCAGATACAGAACCAAGCCAGTCCATACTGATGTCAATGGGCGAAAACTGGGAGAGTTGTGGGGGTGCTAGGTAAGAGGCAATATCACATACACATTGATGTGAGTAACTGGGTGACCCAGTGCATCCACTGCTTTATCTGGAAGATAAACCCATACGCTCCATACCATCCCACACCAGAGGCTGCATCCCAGATACTGGATACATTGGATGACCCAATGGGGCCTAGACCCTGACATCAACAACCCAACAAATGGACCTTACCTGTTGGTGCAGATTGGTATGTGGAACTGCAACCTACATGGTACCAGCCCAAAACGCTGGTACTGCACCAGAGGAAATGGAATTAGAGTACACAGATAGTAATCCCAACAATGGTGGAGGTTGATGAAAGCCAACACCAAACAAATCAACTACCACCAAACCAGGGCCCACATTGCTGTAAGAGAACATCATGACCACCTCAAATTTTATCCCCATAGATGTGGGCTACATTGCATGAATATTCAAGGCATAGGATAGGCAGTAACCTATTCATGAAATGGCCTAACCCGGCCACATGCAAGACATGGCACACCTGTGAACAATGCAAATATAATCAAGGCTAGTGGGAAGCCTGGAAAAGTGGACAGATTGCAACCACCACTCAAGCATTCTAAATCATGACTAAACTTGTAAAGCACTATGTTAAGGAATACTTAAATGAAAGGGATTCTATTCAGTAAGTTTGTGTTTAATAACTTCCTAACTGATTTAAGTAATTCAAATGATCAATGATTTGGACAGAAGTTTTTGGGAAAACATTTTTATAATTAGAAACATTTTTGAAAAAGGATATTTTGTTGAATTTTAATTTTTGATTAATATTCTCTATTAATGTATACAGAGCATGTGTTGAAGTACACACTGATTACAATAATCCCCTTGTGACTTATCAGTTTGTTCCTATGTATATTTATATTACAGATATTCTTATTAAAATGTAGAAGATGAGTTATAATGTTCCTCATAAGAAAATGTGTATAATATTACTAACTACAATAATAAATATTTCAGAATTTTATTTGTGAGAGAAAAATTTCAGATATAAGAAAGCTTCCTTTCGTGACAGATTGGACCAACACATTTGTTTCACTCACCATGTGATTTTGTGTATAAAATTCAACTAAACTTAATAAAATCTATTGGCAAAACCTTTCTATCAGGTTACTTTGAGTTTGGGAATGCAAAAATTATTTGTGTAGCTATTAATTTTAAATAATTACAAATCACTATTTATAATTATTTAGTATTATAAATGTCTGTTAAAGTCTTTTAAGCATTTAAATTTTGTTTTGACAGGGTGTGGGTTTATATACTAAAAATTGAATCCTTGTTGTTATTAGAGTATTGTACTTGTTTTTTCTTTCTTGGCAGAACATAAACTCTAGTGAATTTATTCACTAAGGCAAAATTTATTTTCATTTGCTAAATTATTTAAATCTATTTTATTTTCTACATTATAGCCATATTGGAAGTGGATATAGCATTCCTCATATTTTTCAGCTTTATGACTTGTGTTGCTGTTGTCTTTTCAGGTAAATGTGTTTTTATGAACATTCAATAATGAGAGGGCAAATTGGATATTTTAATAATATACTTTATAATGCCTGTAATTAACAAAGTAAATATTCAAGTAGAAAATTAAATTCTGTGTGTGTGTGTGTGTGTGTGTGTAACCTAATAGCAGTATAATTATTCTGTGAACATGACATAGATAGAATGGCAAGATTTATTTGTATTCTATTTTGTGGTAAGATACATAAAATATAGCATTAAAAATATATCACCTTTATTTTCTGTTTCAGGGTTTGAGGAAATAAATATTTGTTTAAATATTTAATGCCCACATTTTTCTTAGGAAGGAAAGTGACGGAAAGTGAACCAAAGACAGTTTTATGCAAATTTGCCTTATCATAATGCCAAGAGAATTGGAGTTGATAGGCTAAAAGAATTTAAAGAGGGAAAAACTCTTATATCACTTTCAATAATGTATTACTTGTATATTTTCCATGTAAACTGCTGTCATATCTGGGCTGGAGTTGCCCAGTCTTCCCAGACTTATGAGTGATGAATTATTTTACACTCTGCAACCCCTATCCCACAGACAAACATTGCAAGCCTCTCCCTACTTTATTGCTATTCTCATGGCAAATGTTCTGATGAGCTAGATACTTTAGTTCCATCAGCCCTGGCTTTCAGAGCTACGATCCGCCATGCCATGCCTTGTACAGTGGAACGAATCATCTCCATCGTTCCATTAGAAAGAGGGAAGAAGCTCCATTTGGACAGCTTCTTTCAAAAAACTGCTACATTGTGGAACAAAGCTCTACAAATCATTATTATTTATTAAAGTAGTTTGTGCTCTTTAGAATATTCAAGCATGCACCAGACGTCTTGCATGCATTGGAATATTTATCTGTTGCAATTTCTGTACCTTTTCAATTTTATTTCATGTCCTCCATAGTGTTGAGTTACATTCATAGATAATCTTGTTTCTATTTGAATTTCTGGGATGAGTTGTCCTTATTTGCATTCTGACTAATGTCTTCATCATTTTTGTTACCAAAACATTTTGGCTGTTATGCCATCCACTCTTCTTCAGATGTTTGTTCTCTTAAGGTTGTCTAGTAATCCAGACAATCTTAAGAGAACTTGGAATTGAACCCTTTATTTAATCTATGAGGTTACATTGTTTTCATTCCACTCTCCATATCTAGGGACATCTCATTTTGTTCTTTTTTAGTTATGCTCAGTTATTGCTTACTCTGTTTACACTGAGTCTTAGTCTATACTGCATGGCTCAGCAATTGAACTCTACTATGTCACTAAGTACAGAAACCAATACATATATACAGCAATGCAGTTTCATGTCTTGCTATGTATGAGAGTCAGATAGAAAGTTCATAGTGTACCAGAATACAACAGCTGTGATACATTTGTATATCTTTTTTCTACTGGTGTGTCTACTTACATTTATATCTTGGTCAGCTTATGAACTTTTCAGCTGACTCTCTTACTTTTCTTAAATTCTTTTATCGTTTTAGATTTGTTTTTTTCTTACCCCAATTAAATTTTCAATGTATTTTTTAAAATTTATTATCATATATTCAAGATTTCAAACAGTGAATTCATTTTTTTCTTTTCTATTTATTTTTTAACATTACACTCACTTATTTTACTCTTTCAGAAATATGTTTTATGGATTTTTCCTAAATACAAAATGAGTATTGACTGAGATGTAATCAAGGAATTAATCTCTTTTGTAGCTATGCTACGTAGCCGCCAACTCTATCATTCCACATACAAGATGTTCATCGTGTCCCTTGTTGCTTACAATGGTTACTTTTTCTTTATCTGCATTCATTATGGGAGGTATCTGCAAACAGGACTGGAAGAAAGGGAATGCAAAGTCGTTGGTAAGTTGCTTTTGTAATTTTTAATTTAAAACCAAATTCAGTGTAAGATTTCCTATAATACCAGTGTATAAGTAAATTAACAGCATTATGTCTCCATTACTAATTCAGACCATATTTGTTTATGGCTTTGTTAATAAATTTTAAAATTCTGATACATCCATGTTAAATATATATTAATAGAAAGCATGTGATGTTTAGAAAGTTTTCAATCTTAATTTTTTTGTAATATCATTTTTGTCTTGAATATAAATAACTTTTGAATAAATCATTGTAATAACTCACAGTTTGTCCCCAAAGTACTTACTATTTCATTCACTCTGTGCTTTATGATTTTCCCAGTATGAATTAATTCATTATGAATAGCATATGTATGTGTTAATTTTGCTTCAATGGGTAGCTATAGTTTTGATTTTGTTTACAGTAGAAACATACTTCATATTTTTGTCTGAATTTTAAAATAAAGAGAAAAGAGTTATCTAGTTAATTTTGTAACTTTTAGTCATAGACTGAATATGATTTCTTATGAAAAAAGCAAAATGAAATCTGAGTTTTGTGATGATATTTGCAAAATAGAGATTTTAGTTGATTTGTAATTAAATTCTATTTTTTCTGTTACTTCAATTCTTTATAAATTTTAACTACCTATTTCTGTTTATGACTGTCAATTATAGCATTTAAATGAATATCTTTTGAAATTATTAATATCTGAGATTTGCAGTAGAATGAATAATTGCTATATGATGCATGTTAAAAAAATTGCGTATTTTTTCTGTTTGTAGCTTATGTGTGTCAAGCATTCAGTGTTCTCACTTTCCAACTTCTCTTGATTCTACTTGGAAAAGGTTACACAATCACTCGGGGACAAATTAGTCGTACAGGCTCTATAAAAATTGCTGTTTTTATGACTGTCTATGTTTTTGTCTATGCTTGTATCTTTCTTTGGGAAACAGAGGTAAGTGTTAACCATTCTTCTACAAGTTTATTTGAAGGTAGAGAATGGCATTCGGTGTAATGTTGAAGTAATTAGCTATTTTAATATTATCTTGAATATTTGAGATTTTCAGCCCTTCTTTTTTAGTTTTGCACTTAATGTTTGCTAAAATTAATCAATCATCATTACTTACAATCCTGAAAGTCAGTTGTGAATGAGAAAAATTCAGTTTAATTGCCCTTTACTCTATTTTCTCTAAGCCTAAACCATTTTTCTTTTATCGCAACTGTAAATGAACAGTAATTTAACCATTACTACAATATGGCAAAAAGAAATATCCAAGTTTCTGTATAATCTACAAATCTCAAGTAAAAATCACCACAGTTTCTTAAGACTTCCACTGCTGTGGATATATTTTATGAAACTTACACTGCCTGCTGTTGACATATATATACACTTACCACTTTATTAGCTGACATTTCTTCTTGTCATGGATTCAATGATGTTCTGCAAGCACTCTTTCACATCTGGGTCCATGCTGTTACTATGGTATCATGCAATTCTTTTAGATTGGTTAATTGCACATCCAGGATTTTACACACACTTTCCACCACATCCCAAAGGTGCTCTATGGGATTGAGATCTTGCGACTAACAGAAAGCTCACTACTGTGTCCCCTGAACCAATTTGCCACTTGTGACATGTGTTGTCCTACTGGAAATGACCAGCAGGTGAGGGGTGCACTATAGTCAGAAATTCAGGCACATGGTTAGCCATAATACTTACATAGGCTGCGGCATTTAAACAATCTTTTATTGGTACCCAGGATCCTAATGTATATTAAGACTCTATTTTCCATACCATTGCACCATCACCACCACCATCAATCTGAACGATTGACAAAAGACAGGATGGATCCATACTTTTATGTTGCTTATGCAAAATTCTGGCCCCACCATCTGAATGTTGCAGCAGGAAGCAAGAATCATTAGACCAGTCAACATTTTTACAATCTTCTTTTTCTCCAAGTTATTGCATGAAATAAAATTTAGCAGGTTGCCATAGCCATGTTTAAATACATATATCCATTAAATTGCTATCATGTCATTGGCTGATGAGAAATTTGCATAAAAGAGCATTTGTTCATGTGTACTGAATTAAGTGGTCAGTATTGTTTTCAAGACACTGTGAAATGTCAGTTCCTAGCATTTGTGCTATAAACTAATTCCTAGTGCTGGTTCCAAACTAGCAAAATCATATAGTAAGGTAAAATACAAACCTGTTTTGTAATGTATTTTTTGTGTATTGAGGAGGGAGTGTTGTTTAGCTTGGTCATTACTACAAAATATTTGATTGAAACCAAAATGGTGGTATCTATGAGAAATCCCCCTCAGCATCTTTTGTGTCATTTATTTCCAGTAAATGACAATTTCCTATTTTCCCCCAAATGTGTTAGCACAGCCAGGTAATGTTGTTATAACAATGTAGCAGTGAATGTGTTAATGTAAAAAATCCTTAAGAGTTTCATATATGAGAAGTAAAATTCTAAACAAATATATTCTCAGTTTTAATTTGACACTTAAACTTAATTTATTATAAGTTGCTGTTCAATACTGAATTTGTTTTTGTTATCAACAGCCAGTAATCAAGTATAAATTGAAAACTAAATTCCAAACACCAATTTTTATTGTTCAACTATCTGAGGATTGGTGTTAGTTAGCATTTCCCAAAAGTATAAGCTAGGAATCTTGTAAATAGAGAGATTATGTGATGTCATTTGTATACACAATAGCAGAAATTGTAATGTAGGGGTAATCTTTTATTTCTCTTCGCATAAAAATTGGTTTTAATACTTTATCTCAAGTTAAAATAGAATCTAAGATGGGACACAGTTTGAATAGGTTAATGTTTAATTTGAAGGACAAAAATCCTAAAGGTCATAATTTGAGGTTTATTTGAAAAAGTTAAAAATTATGAAGAGGAAATAAAACAAACATTTTGATGAATGAAAAATAGCAAATATTTACTGGCAAGAAATTAATTATTGTTCAGTTCCCTTATCTTCTGCAGTTCTTTGATCCTGGAATGGTCTTATACCGCTATGAAAGCCCGCCTGGTTATGGTCTGATTGCCATGCGTATAATTGGTTGGTTGTGGTTCTGTTTTGCTATTGTTACAACTGTCAAACACCATATTGAGAAGTTGCAGTTCTACATATTCTTCTTCTTTACCTTTACACTTTGGTGAGTCTCACTTTTTTTTTTTTTTTCTTAGCAACAAAAAATTACATTTGATAATAATTTTTCTTTTATTCAATATTATATTACTGTAATATAGTTTCATAGACAGCCAAATATTCTTTTACAATTATTTTAATGAAGCTCTATTAGAGTTCTTGGTGGTGAGCAATTTACCTTATCCCAATATAAACATTATTATACTTGTGATATGCTAACTCACTGTTTATAGGTGAAAGTGGACAAGAATATGTATATATGTTTAAGAAGAAACTGTTGTTGGCCAGTGTATGCATTGAGAGATAAACATGTGCGTCTCCTGTAATGCCCACAACAAACATGGCAGACTCAGGGTGTGAGTCCACATAAATAAATGAATGAAATGTAAAGAAATGACAAAAACCAATATATAAGTATAACAAATGAAAATGTATTAACAAAGGGTTACAAGTAACAAAAATGTGTGTGTCAAATGAACGTGAAAGCCTAATGGTCCAAAGTATGTGTAGCGAGTGAATGTGTGTACGCACATGTGTGTGTGTATGTATTGTCCATGTATTTCCCAAAAGGAATGCATTCTCCATGCGAGGTTACATGTTGACGAATAAGCAGATATGGTGAGAAGAGAGTAATAAAAAAATTATTGCAGAGTATTTATAGCCCAGAGAGTGTCTCCTAGAAGCAGTTTTAAAAATTAGGAGGATGTAACCCAACAAAACATTTTATCTACATAATTACAGAACTTGAATGTGACATTTTTCATGCAGCAAACTGATTATATATTGGGAGATACAGGAAAGAAATTGTATTACTTGTGAATTGCATTAGTGATGTGGCTAGGTAATGAACAGCGAGAACAAATGAAATGTTAGAGTAGATGTGTCTTCACTCTTACATATTGGTGCCAACTGGCAAGGCAACTAACATTTCATGTCTCTAGCCAGACTGTCACATGACACATTTTTTACTTTGACATATTCATAAATTATAACTGATTAATTAAGTTTTGTAGTGTTACAAATCAATACCTAGAACAAAAATTCAGATAGGAAGATTTAAAGCTGTATATAAATGTGAAAAATATTGCATCAATATATCATTTAACAGTTTTAAAATCTCTATGAAAAAAGAACATACAAATGACAAAGAGTAAATTCCACAAATAAGCAAATGTAACTGGAAAGTTCAGTTTAAGAAAGTCAAATGTGAAAAGTTTCTGAAAATAACTTTGTAAGATTTTTTATTGTTAAATGTATAGTTATCATTTCTTGTCTTAAATTTTTTTTAAAGTTTCTGATATTTATCAATTGAAGGCTGATTGATCAGCCTTTTCTTTGACTACATATTCTGGTTTCCTTAGAATAAATTTTACCTACTTGCTGTTCAGAACAGATCTAATAATGTATTGTTTTGTTTGTACTTAATTATACTGGTAGACTTCAAGATTCATAAAATGAAAATATCAAATTGTTATTAACTATTTAGTTTTTGGTTAGAGAGAGAAAAAAATGAAAAATCTACAAAGAATTCAAGTTTTGTTATATGCTCAATAAACTCATATTTGGAAACAGAATTCCTGTCACAATGTTCAAATTTCTGTGTTATTCATAAAAAATATTGTCAGTACTATAATGGTGATTGTGATTTTTTCATTCAAAGAAGGCATATTCAAATGCATTCAAGCAGAAGTTGATATATACATATATAAACGCACACATATATAAACACACACACACATATATATATATATATATATATATATATTAATACAATAAAAAACTAAAGAATTAATTCTAGAACAAGATGCTCAGTTACAATTTTGAATTTGGTAATATTCTTGGATTTCATTTAATAAAAATATTAAAAAAATTAGGGATTAAATGAAAATAAGTTGCTCAGCAAATTAATAGTTACTTGCATTATTTACATTATTCAGACTGTTATCCACATCTTCATTGCCATATTCATGTTTTGGCCGTTGCATGCTCTGGTCTTCTGATTGGAATTTCAAACCAACCCTTTATTTCATACAATGGCTGAAACATTGTAAATATAGCAATGAAGATGAGGATAACAATCCAAATAATGCAAGTAATCATAATACCTCATCTCAGAGATATAGACAGAAATTAATAGTTATTATTACATTTTAATATTGCCAGCAGAACATGTGCTGCTGTTAGTTTTGAATTCAGCTATTAACCATTTTCACAAAGATAAATAATGAAGTGGATTGTTTTTGTTATTGTAATGAACATCTTTAAAAACACATTATCAATTAATGAATATGAAATATTTTTCTGTTTATAGTAAGTGTAAATTTAAAATTTCTTTTTATCTTTTTGTTGGTGCTAAATGTTATTTAAGCCAAAAAAGGCATTCATTTAAAATCATATTATTTAAAATTAATAACTTCAAAAGCATGGCAAAATTATAATTGATATAGAATAGAAATGTGTGTGTATCTATGTAAAAATGTAATTAAGATGTTGTAAATAGCATCAGTGGATTTCATTTATGTCCACACCAGATATTATTTCTACATTTTCATTAGTGCATCATAGATCTAGATTATTTTAAAATACAATATTGTCCAAATTTTATCTTTTTGATGACATTATATCATTATTTTATATTTATAATTGAATTTTACATTTATTACTGAAATTTATCTCAAGTCTATCTAAAGTAGTTAAATGAATTTTAAATAACTATTTTTTCTTTAACAGGTTTTGGGCCAGCGGTATCACATTTGTTGTTGCAATAAATGCAGTTCCATGGCATTTGCGAGAAAAGATAGTTAATGGTGTAGAAATAGCAATTGATTTTTCAGCACACTTAATTTTTTTGGTAATTTTAAATTTTTCCTTATTTTTTTTGTTTCTTACTTTTAACTATTCTAAAATGACTCTTGAAGTTTCTTTTGTAAAAACTGAGAGTTTCTTTTAATATCTGCATATGATTTTATAGTGATTATTATTAAGATTAGTGCATAAAATTAACTTTATAAATGCTTAACTTGAGTAAGATTAGTAAAAACCATAATCTTAAAAAAATCTGATTCATTATTTGAAATATAAAGCATGGATAGTGAAATAAACTTTACAGGTGATATGGACCTTGTCTACTTCATTTGTCGTAGAAGAATGTTTGCTGCTGACAAAGTCAGGTAATGTTCTCTAATTTCAGAAAAGAAAAACAAACTATTTATATTGATAGACATGATGATCAATATGGAAACAATAAATATGAAAATTTGAAGATTTTCTTTATTTTACAGTACTAAATCTGAATATATGACATTCCTCTTTGAAATTTTATCAATCAGAACTTTTTGTTAGCTTATCTCATTCATAAAAATGAGACATTATAGAATATTATTTTTTTTTTTTTTTTTTTTTTTTTACACATGTTGCGTAGATATGAATCCATGGAAGAGTATTACATAATTATAATAACTGTCTTATATTTAAGGATTCATGTAGATTTTTTTTTTTATTTTAAATTTTAACAAATCTTACTTAACCAAAGATATAAACAGAATAGGTTTACATTTCAAATTTAATAATAATTCAATGTTGTGGAGTGAATAACATTTTATGATATTGTTGAGTTGTTGGGAGTGTTCCCCGCGTGTGTGTAGGGATAAATACTGGTATATTTGTAAGAGGTAATTAACAACAGAGTGATTAGTAATAAGGAACGCCGGTTAGTAAGTAACAATAGCAAAAGTCTACAGTCCAACGGTATGTAATGATAACCTGATCCTTCACACTACACCTACTCTCTAGCACTGACATATCGTAGAGGGATAAGTCCATTATCAGTCAGCGATGTTGTTGTCCATACCTGGCCAGTAGACGTATGCTCTCATGAGGCTCTTCATTTAATTTATGCCCGGGTGACCAGCATGAAAATCTTTTAGTATTCGTTTTTGGAGTGTGCTAGGGATTACTACCCTTTCACTGTATATTAGTACATTATCACACAGAGAGAATGTCTCTTGAATTTTTTCGTCTTTACTAGCTAGCTTATCTTTTATTTGTTTTATATATTTGTCCTTTTCTGCATTTTTTTTTGATGTCAACAAAAGCGATACTGGTAATTCTCGAATTGCGTTTTGCCACATTTTTCTTCAATCTCGTCCTCTGCTCTGAGGGATTTATATTACCGTATCCTCTAAAGGTTCTGTTGCTTTTGAAAGAGTCTTGATAGTCCATCTTTTTGACCAATTTTGTGGGTGGACAAATATTGTATTCTAAAATTATAATTTAACAAAATTGTCCCCCACCTAAGCAATCTATTTGCGGTGTATGTTGGCAGACCCTTTTTTGAACCGAATATTGTTACCAGAGGCTTGTGGTCTGTCTGTAGCATAACATACCGTCCATGTATGTATCGATGGAATTTTGTTACAGTGAAGATAATTGCCAATGCCTCTTTCTCAATTTGTGAATAGTTTCATTCAGCAGGTAGTAGCGATCTGCTTGCATGAGCGATCGGTCGAACTTTACCATCCTTCCACTTGTGCAATAAGCACGCACCTACGCCATGTGTACTGGCATCGCTCGTCACGATGATATCTACCTTTTGATCAAAATGTACAAGAAATAAATCTGATGTCAGTTTTTCTTTTATATCCTTAAATGCTTGCTCGCATTCTTTTGTCCAAATCCAAGGTTTCTCTTTTTTTAGTAGATCGTTAAGGGGAGCTCGTAGAATGTGGAGGTCTGGGATAAAATCCTGGTAATATGACACTAAGCCAAAAAAAACTTTGTAGGATTTAATAACCTTTGGCTCAGGCATATCTTATTGCTGATGCTCGACTTTTATCTGGCTTTTTTCCTTCTTTATTCACTATATGTCCCAGATACTTGATCTCCTCCAAGAGAAAATTGCATTTATTTTCTTTCACTCTAAATCCATAGCTTTAACCTTTTCAAAACTTTATGAATGGTGTTTGTGTTCATCCACCATTCACTTTTTTTACGAGTATATCGTGAGAGATATGCTATCGTGTAGTCTAACCCGGATAACATAGTATCCATTATTTTCTGAATATTATGGTGTTGTTTTTACCCCGAACGTAAACGTTTTATCCGAACAAACCTTTATGCGTGTTGATGCATAGCAGCTTTGTCGCTTTTTGTTATCCATGGGTACTTGCAAGTATGCCTCGCTAAGATCTATTTTCGAAAAGATTTTTCCACCATTTAACTTTGAGTAACACTTCTTGGGACTTGGTAGTGGATAGTGGTACTTTCTATTCGTCGTTTAACCCAGTTGAAAAAATCGGCGTAGACGCTGAATTTCGCCAGACTTCTTTACGTAGACAGGCGAGCTGCCCAGTCACTGTATTCCGTTTTCGAGATCACACCAATTCTCGTTAGTCTTTCGAAGTTCTTGGTCAATTTTCTCTAATGCGGCAAAAGGATGCTACGCTTTTTTAAAAATTGGTTGAATATTTTTCTTCAGCTGTATTTTTGCTGATGCTTCAGTGCAACGTCCAAGTCCTTCAGCGAAGACTTCGGGGAATGCTAAGATGCACTCGGGAGTTTTCTATAGTCTCTGTTCCTTCTTGTAGTAGGATACCACTTCCGTTCAGGCGATGGAGAACGGAAACGAGTCTTCCTATATTTTTCTTCACATTTGCGATAGCAGTTTCTTCTATTTTCTCTGAATCTTGCTTAATGCTTACGCATTGCTGACAGTACCGGCTAGCTTTTTGTAGCGCCATGTTTTGGTCATTTTTCTAGCTTTGCTAAATGCGTCTTCGCATTTTGCTATCTTTTTTAGACATTAAGCCAGTAACTAATATTAGACACTTGAAATTGTCCGCCGATAATTCGGGACAAGCGAAAATCGTCACACGCCTTTATTTATTATTGACGCGAACGTCGTGTAGTCTTCCTGCTCGCTTTTTGAATATTAAGGCATTTCCACCTTTTGTGAAATAATGAAAATCTGGGGTTGAAGAGCTCTTTTAGCAATTCAATTGCTTCGTCGAATTTTAAATCTGTCTTTTTTTGGGTAATATAAAGTTCGTAAATTTGTTATGTTCTGCCGTTCCCAGTTTTCGTAATCTTATCTTTTTCTCGTCTGTCCATGTTTGGCAATAGACTTCATAAAAGTCCTGATATCTATGGTAATATCTTTCGAAAGTCTTTTCCTCTTCTGGGTTATAGGCAAAACTTTCAATCGTCAACCATATTGTGTCTTGAGAAAAAGTACTTCCATCCGAGTCTTTCTGCTTGGACAGTATAGCTTTATGTATAAGTTCAGTCATTGCTAACTGTTTCTTTTCATTTTCTTGTATTTTCTGAAAATTCAATAGTTTTTCCTGAAAATGTTCTTCACTCTCTTGTTGTCTTTGCATCTGATACTTAATGAGTTCCAGCATAGATGATTGAAATTTGCTCCATGATTATGTATGTGTAGAGAAAAAAAGCGAAATTATGTGTTTTTTTTTTCTCTCTGAGGGGGGCCAAAAAATTAATCAAATTCTCTGGCAAAATTTTTTTTTTTTTAGCACAATAAATTGGTTATTAAAGATTCGAATTTAATCAATAAGTTAATGTCTAACTTAGTTTTTTTTTCTTTTTTGTCGATAACTTTCCTGTGAAAAAATGCTTGAACTCTTTTGAATTTTCCGAGTTGAAAATCGTTTCTTTTGCTGTTACGATATTTATTTTTCAACATAGGTTCTTTTATCCCGTTAGGAAGCCCTCGTGCGTCACTGTTGAGTTGTTGGGAGTGTTCCCGCGTGTGTTTATTTGAATAAAGACAAACACAGTTGTAGGGATAAATACTGGTATATTTGTAAGAAGAGGTAATTAACAACAGAGTGATTAGTAATAAGGAACGCCGGTTAGTAAGTAACAATAGCAAAAGTCTACAGTCCAACGGTATGTAATGTAACCTTCACACTACACCACTACTCTCTCTAGCACTGACTTATATCATAAAGGGATAAGTCCATTATCAGTCAGAAGGTGGGTGCGCCCCAACAGATATTAAATTTCTTCAATGATTTTCAAATTTTAGTAATATTGAAATCTCAGAAATGCATACAAAAGTTTGATATCATGCAAGATCCTAGATATATTTATTCAGAGAGTGAAGTTTCTTCCACTGAATACAATAAATTGTAAATAAATAATCTCATTACTTTTATATTTTGATCAAATAAGAGAAATTTCATGTAGTTGCTCAATTTACTTATCTGTAAAACACAAAATCTCCTTAACTGATTTCCATCTATTTTTCTGCAGATACTTACAAGTCCATTATTGTTTAATAAGATGTTTCCATTTCACATCAGGACAACACAGGTAAATGTTCAAAAATATTTTAATCAATCAAGTCCTTAGTTCAGTTGTGTCATGCATAATAAAGTCAAATTTAATATATAAGTGACTAAATAAGTGATAAATAACTTACTGATTTAATTTAAGAGAAAAAATTGTCACGTGGACAATAGCCTAGTGGATTAAAGTGTTGGATTGTGAATTTAGTGGCATAATAATTGTGTTCAATATTTGGATCAGACTTAGACTCAGTGAAAACAGGGTGAGCAATGAGTAGTATTAAAAAAAAGAGATATCAATATCCTTAGACATGAACAGCAGAACAAATTATAAATTAGTGTTCAGTTTGGAATTCCATGAAGCTTAGGGGAATTGGGAGACACCTGATGAATGCCAGAGTACACAACAGCTGAAATGTTGTGATAACAACAAAGGTGTATCAATTAATAAAAATCTTATATATAGGAATCATTTCATTTACCCTTTAAAAACAGAACAAATACAAAGCAAACATTAATCTCCTTCAAACTTTGAAAACCCACAGGGCATATTCACTGACTTTCTTATCATTCTGACAAGAAAGCTCTAAATGCAAGCTGAGTTACTTATAATACATAAGCATTTTATATCTGAATATGAAATAAGAAGTTATCATTATTATAGACCAATTTACTTGAGCTAGCAATTGTTAGATTCAGAATGTTTTAGGCATTATACCCTTCAGACTACTTTAGTTACTTGTCATATTAAGTAATTTTATGAGAATTTAAAATAAAATCCTTTATTCAATCTACAAAGTAGAGTATTCTTATCTTGGATTAGTTAATTCTTCTGAATTAACTTGTCTTTGTGATGCCATTGAATCAGAATATATAAATTTTGCTGCCTGATGCAGGGATTGAACACATGACCACTGGATAAACTGCATACACTTAATCAATAATTATATTCATTAGGCAACTTTTCTATAGGACAATCAGAATTTGTAATATGGGAGCCTTAAACCTAATGTCTGTTCTTTTCTAATCAAAGGCTTCCATATAGTGTTCAATTCTATGATACTGAGGAGAAAATTAATATGTGCTGATACTTTCAATCTGTTTATTATAAGTGCTGTTCGTATTCTGATTTCATTCATTAATGCTTGGTGACATCTGCCTATTTCCATCTACACATGATCAATCATATCTGATGGTCTATAGCTTTTTGATATTCTTCAAGTTTTACTTTTAGAGCATAGCTAGTCTGCCCTTTATATCCCTTGTCATAAGAGTATAGAATGAGCACTTTTCAGTTTTACAGCTTCTGAATTTTATAGTGTTTAATGTAATATACCAATTTGGGATCTTACATGATATATAAGGTACATTGATTGAATTATTAAATAAACTTGACCTAATTGCTTACTGCCTGATGAGCCAAACTGGTGAAACTATAGTAGTGAGTAAGCAATTATTTTATACTTTATATTGATATATTTACATTTTCATTATTATTGTATAATGTTTATACTTCATACATATAGCTCTGTATATATGCATTCCAGGCATAATATTGGATATTATGATGTTTTTAATTCTGTCTGGAATCATCATCATCATGGGAAGGAACACAATTTGCCTCTGTATGTTATGTATGATTCTATGTATTAAGAGCACTCAATCTTTAGACTTCATGAGAATTATTTAACAACTAAAATTCAAAGAAACCAATTGGAAGAGAAAATCAAACAAACTGAAAGGGTGATGATAAGATGCCTAACATACAGCAGTAAATTGTGAAGCAGACTTTTCCCAATGGTTCCTTCGCTATTGAAAGCTAAGGAGAAGTTAATAATGTTATGGTGAGCATCATAATCTCATAAGTTAAAAACAAAGAGACAAGTTGCGATTTTAATTTGTTTTTCTTATTGGTAAATTAGTTGGTGTTGAACATGTAAACGGATTATCCACAGTTCATGTTAAGTTTCTGCATTTTTGACTGATATTATTAAGAAAGAAATAAATTAAATTCAAAGTTAATATGGTTATGTCTCTTTGGTAATATTTTAAATTTCATGTTTTGGATGCTTGTGTTCTCAAGTCAGTGTGATGTTATTTTTGAGTGACAATACAAACATCCAAAATTTAGAATTCATGGACTTTTTTTTAATCTTGATAATAATTGAAACCAGTTAAAAAGAACTAACACAAATTTCTTTTGTACACTAAAATTGGGAAACTAGTCAACCAGCAAGAAAAACAAATTAAAAAATATAAACAATAACTTGTCTGTTTTCTTTAAGGAAAGTTGTTTGAATTAATATCTGCTGCCTATGTACACTCAGTGTGTATATATATATATATATATATATAATCAATTTATACAATACTATATTAGAAACATTTATTAACTTGAAACTATGAAATGAGTGGCTTAAACTATTTTATCAAGGATAGCCTCTGTTGTTTCCTTTTTGATAATTGGAATAAGTTTGGGAAATATCCCTGGGACTTTGGTCTGGAAATGAGTACATCCTTGTTGATATTAAATAACTTCAATCCTAATCACTTACAATAAATGATAACCGGATATAAGGGACGTAACTCTAGATATTTTACACAGCTACTTTACAGACATCTAAAAGGAATTTTCTTGTACAAATTAAAAGGCAATGCATGCAAATGTCTTCTGTTTCAGAGTAGTTAGCTGATACTTTAGTTACCTATGTAGCTTTTGTTCTCCATGACATTTTGGTTTTACTACTAGTGCTACTTCCTTATTTCCTCCTCTTTCTTTGTTTTCAGGGTCTTTTCTTGTTTGTTACAACTTGTAAATTAATTATACAGATATTGGTAGAAATGAAGAAAGATGATTAAAGAAATAAGCATTTTATAGTAAAGAATCACTTCTTTTCTCAATGATTTTATTTATTCCCCATTATCTAATTATAAGAAATGATGTTTCAGTTTAGTGAGATAGCTTGAAGATAATTCATGTTGGGTCTGGTATAAAAAAGATGAATCAGTTTGTCTTGCCTTATTTTTATAAAGTTTCTTGGAAAGAAGGTTTATTTAGATTTAAAAAAGATATTTATGAAAGTGGCATATAGCAGCAGCCTTTTATATGATTTTTGTTTTGCATTATATTTTAATGCATTTTAATGTAGAAAAAATGAAATTTTTAAATTTAATTTTTTTAGTCTATACAATATAAGAATATTTGTAAAATAATTTAGTACATATATAACATTTTGTGACTTATAATTTTTTAATGTCATGCCTTTTCAGGATTTAGGCAATCATAACTTTCTACAGATTTTCTTTATTTTATGTGACTTCTTGAAAAAAAACAGTGAACACCATTGCCTTGAGTTTTCCTTCTCTTTGACTGGTTGCCATGCAGTCTACTTTGCTGGGAGAGAGTGGGGTTAGATAGATAGATGGGGATGCCTTTCCCAAGGATATTTGTGTGAAAGTGAATACAAGAGACTAAACTGGAATTTGAACTTAGTTCTCCAAGTCCATTTGGCACACTGATATCTGTTACACTATTTACATAGCATAATTCATAGCAAGAAATTTTTATGAAGAATTTTATAATAATTAAAAAAAATTTTTTTATCTTCAGATTGTTCCCAGTGATTCAGATAGCTCATCATCTGGTATGGATACAGAAATACAGACAATTCAGCTTTCAACAGTGTCATCATCTTACTTGATGGGCCAAGGACCTAATATTGCAAACATGTTCATTACAAGTAACACACTTACAACAAAGCTCCCTAACCAAGACTTGCCAGATAATAATCTTACACGCCCTGTTATGCCGGTGAGTATATATTCTGCATGAAAACAAGACAATAACTTTAACAGTGTTGACTCTTCTTAAAAAATGGACACATATTTAAAGAATTTTCTTCTGACAAATTTCTGTATAAGTGTGTGGTTTAGAATTGAGATATTATTATTATGATGCTGGTAGCAATAGCATCTTTATAAGACACAAATTGTTCGTGTTATATGACAGATATTATGCTATTGTTATGGCATTTTTTAAATTTTAGGATTGTATTCATAAAAAGCAAGATTTTTTTTTAAAGAAAATATTTTTAATGCATCTGTAACTTTCTGATAACAATCTTTATGAGAAATTTAACAGTAAAAACTCTTAAGTGTTAATATTATATTAAAAGAAAATGTACAGTAACACACCATTATACTTTATTCTTTATAGGTTATTGATTTGTCTAGTGCTAGAATGTCAAAAGATTACAACTCAGGATTTTATTTGTTATTGTGATTAAGTTCCAATTTATTTCAAATGTTGGTTTGAGAAATAATGAGAAGATTGAACAAGAGATGAAAGTTTGATAAATATGGACTTTCTTGCCCACAAAAAAACAGCATCAAAAGGACATTTTTTCCCATGACACCACATTTATTTTAATTACCTTCACTCTTTGGCAATGTTTATACTTTTCCAAAAGTGATGGTTAGAATTGTAAGAAAACCAAAACATATGAAAGTGAATTTATACATTTTCTTTGGCAACAAAGTTGCTATGCTCTCATTTAAGCCATTGACTTTTTAGCTTTCTTAATTGGTAATCTTGTTGAAATTATAAAGCAAATCCTTTATTCAATCTACATGGGTATACTGTTTTCATTCCAATTACTATACTCAGGGGAGATAGCTTAATTCTCTCTAGTCCTTTCACCTTTTAATTGCTTGTTCATTGCTTCCTCTGAATTAGAGTATTTAACTTTTTCACACCCCAGGACTGAAAAAGGCCAGGTTAACTAGATATGTTCTATTCAGAACTTTAATCTATCTATCTCTTCTTATATGAAATTATATATAAAATAAGGGGAAAAATTTATGAACTATTTAAAGTTACCTTCCTAAAAAGTCTGACACCAATAAAAATATTTAAGAAAAAATAATCTTGTAAAATATGAATATTTTATTAAAACTAGAAGAGTGAATGTTTCAGTATTTATTTTTTGAGTGGAAAAATGTGTAAGGCAAATACAGAACTTATAAATCTAAATAAAATTTATTTTGAAAAAATAAAGTCAAATTCATTTTGTTTCACTTCTTAAACATTGTTTTCTTTTATCCAAATGGTCTGATTTAAAATTATCACTAAGCAAATTTATCTGTTAATTATTGGTAACAGAAAGCATACCAATTTATATTGGAATTTTTAGTGAGGAATTATTATTATTATTATTATTATATGTCTTTCTATTTATACCAGTATACTTCTCTCAGTAGTTATATTTGTAACCTTTTTAATTATTGTACTCTCTGGCCTTCTTATTTGGAAACATTCATGGATTTTTTAACTGAACATTTTATTAAACCCATGACAGTAGATTGTTCTTATTCTGCTTTCCATAATTAAGGGATAGCTCCAATGATGGCTTTAGGCCTTTAGAGACCCCTGGGCTAATAGAATTTGGAGCCTCTTCATTACGTATGTTCCTCCACCCATTTCTATAAGAAAAATATATATCTTTAGATAATGCTATTTTGATGAAAAACAGGAAACATTTCAACTAAAGATTTTTATGATTTTGAAACTCATCCAATTTATTTAATTAACAACTTCATGATATTATGTTACACACATGAAATGATACTCTGTATAGGTAATGAATACAATGCTTCAGAAATAAATAATTTATTTAGATGAAATAGTTACAACATTGATAAATGACTGTTTTCCAATATACCTCTAAATTCTTGATCCCATCTCTAAAAAAATCTCTCATCCTTTGAAGTTCAGAATATTTTATTGTGTATGAAAAGCTCAAAATGCATAAATAAATGATAATCAGTAGGAGAGATATCATGTGGATATGGAGAATGAGGCAAAATTTCATAATTCAGGCTATGCAACTTTTGAACAGTTGATTGAGAAGCATGTGGTCATGCATTGTCGTGCAGCAAAATTGGGCCATCCTTATTCACAAGTCTAGGATGTTCCTTTTTCAATTTTTCATGCATACACACAATTTCCCACCATACGAGGCTGCTGTTATTGTTTTCCCTTGAGGCAAGAATGAATAATGAATAACCCCTTTAAAAGACCACCATCCAGTAACCATTAACTTTTTAGGGTGTAGTAGAGGTTTTGGGTATTGTTTTGGTGATTTTTTCACTTGCTTACTCACTTACTGTTGTCAAAGAATATCCAATTCTCAATGAAAAATGGTTCTTTTTCCCCAATGGGAAAGCAACAGAGAGAACACCTCAAAGCAACATTATTTTTGGATCTCATTCAGTTCATGTGGAACAAACCTATCCAGTTTCTTTATTTTACAAATTGCTTTTAAGTGCTGAGAAACAATTGTGCGAGATGTTTCATGTTCAGATGCAAGTTTTTGGACTGTAGTTCTCAGATTTTGATCAAACCAAAGCATTCAATTGACCATATCTGATCATGGTTTTCCCCTTGGTTTATTTTCTGGACCATAATCTCTTGAATAAAACTTCTGAAACCATCTCTGTACAGTTCTTATTTCAACAACACCATTACCAAAGGCTGACTTGATATTCTGAAATATTTCAGAGGCAGAATGACCTAGTGTAAGGTTACTCGACATTGTTTCATTGAATAACAATATATGGAAATAAAATTATCTAGAAAGAAAAGGGGTCAGGAATAATTCAAGATTTTTTTATACACTAAGGAGGTTACTTCATTAGATGACCAGATCAACAACCAGTCAAAAAATGTGTCATTTCATATGTGACAACCTAATATTTTTTATCCAAACTTTACATCCTACAGAAATGTATCTAGACTGAAGGGCCTATATTACACTGAAATTTTAGTATTCAAATTCATTAGCAAAGCATCCTAAAAACAGACTTGTGATCCTAGATCACCACTGCTGAACAAAATTGTGGACTCCTCTAGTCTTGGACCCTGGACAGCAAACTATACAAGCCCATATTTAAATTTGACACTGGATATCTCTCTAGTCTGCTTGCCTTTGTATCTTTTGTCTATTGCTTCCACTGGATATATGACTTTTTTCATTACCCAAACCAGGGATGCCATGGAATAAGATATATTTTAACCACTGTTCTAATCCATTAAGCCTAAATAGAGGAACAATACAAAGGCAAACAGATGAATGAGAATTAAGTAGTTTGAAATATATTTTAAGCATGAACATTGGAATGAGAACATTCTACTTCTGCAGATTGAATAAAGGGTTTGGTTCAAAATTCTAAGAAAGTTACTGAGTACATCAAGAGACACCTGAAAAAGGCTGGTGGGTTCAACAGCTGAAAAATTGTGAGTATAATAACTAAGAATAAAGTAGTATATGATAGAAAGTATGCACTTTGAAATTATTGCTACTTTGTTTTAAATAACAACTTTTGTTTAGTAATATAAAAATTGTTTTTCTGAATAATTTATGGATGCTTGATTTTACTATTGTTAAAATATCTAAATATTTTAAAGATGAAGAAATAGATTGAATATATTAGTTCATGAATAAATAAGCATTTATACACCAAACTATTCTGCCTGGAAACATAATTGGCTTCAGAAATATATTCATAATTGGACAACAATAATCAATGTTGATTTCAAAAAGAAATAATTTTTCCTTTTACTTTTTATGAATATAAAAGTTGAAATCTATAAAATGTTATATGTTAAAAGTTCTTTTGCAACATGGTTAACCATTTCTAGCATTGTAATAATATTTTCTAAAACAATAGAAATCATATTCTCTAGAAGCTCATTTAAAATTATTCTACTAAATATAATTCCTTAGATAAACTTTTAAGACTCAAATCTGTTTATGATACAACCACATTTTTGACAAACACCACAAAGAAATCAATCTGATATTTTAACGCATGCCTTTAGAGAAATAGTATATTTATTTTCATTTTACTATTAAAAGTACTAAAAGGTTTAATGATTTTTTCAAATTACTAAAACTGAAGTTCGCCAAATGAATTAACTCTGATAAGAAAGATAATATCTAAATTTCAAATGATTAAAATTATTTTATGTGATGCTATCAAAGCATTCTGCATAACAAAAAATAAGAAATTTATAATATTTTTATAGTAAAACATTTTTGGGACATACAAAATATCTTTAACATTTTCTAGAATGTTTGTTATAGAGCTTACACTTTTCTTTGTCTTGCAAAAATATTGGTTGAAAATATTTTTATAATAATGTGATATTTTGCTAGTGATGTAGATTGTTATTCTATGAGAGGTAGACTTCAAATTGCTCACCATTTATAGTTTTACAATATGTCACCAATTATTTGGATAAACATTTTATGTCACAGTTTTTACAACACTATACACAGTACTTTACAAAATAATACTTGAAAACTTCCAACAGCAGCAACAATGAAACAGGTAGCATATGTAATAAGGGAAAATATTGATATAATCAAGATGTTGACTTTCTACACAAACTTAAGCAAAAGACCTGGAAGGAAACTCTCATCAGTAGTAGAAATAGTGATAATGGTTAATGAACTGAAGAAGTTCAATTTTTTGAAAAACTGTTTAAAGAAAAATATTTTACAAATTTTAAAAAACAGTAACACTATTTGGCCAATGAATGTTGAATGTCTCCTGCATGTAAATGGCTAATTTTGTCATTATCACAAAAACCCTTTCATATCACCAATAATACAGTAATCTATTTGCAGAAAATCAAATAGAACATTAGATAATCATTTTAAAATGTATTTTGTGATCAAATGCAAAAATCTTTTGGGACAAATAAAATTTTCTAACAAAGGAAAATACAGAGGATATAAAGCAATGATTTATGATAAAACTGATATCTTCTTGTCACATATCTGTTTTATATAATTGTTATATCTGTTTTCAGATACACTAAAAGCTACCAATTAAAAACAAAATTATTTGTTATAACATGAATGCCGTTTTTCTATAACTTCTTTGAACCATTCAGAGAACTTTCTGGAACATAGAACATATCTAATTCAATCTGTGATATTTGAAGCTAACATTACAAAACACCAAATTATAAAGCATTCCACTGATTCAGATTGATTTTTGGATTTCTTCCTATTTTTCTGGTTCCAAGCACCAAAGACTAACCTTTGTTTATTTCTTTTTTTCTTTTAGCTGCCTTCTGCTCCTAGTCCTCCTCCTTCCTACGATGCCTTATTTCAGACAAGGACACATGAACCAGTCAAGAAATGAAGATTTAATTCCATACTCATTTTTAAGGTCCAGATTAATTTCTAAATTGCTCTTCTTCTGGACTCTTGTAAAAGTAATTTGTTTTATATAAAGATTTAATGATTTTTCAGGTTTGTTGATAAACTATGAGAAAAGGATAACAAAAGATATCTGTAGCATTTGGCTATTATCTTCATTTGTTCAAATGGTTTGATTGCTCACATTTTGGGGTTTTGTAAGAAAAATTATTTTATTCTCCTTGAAAACATTTATTTTACTAAATCTTGAATATAAAATTGTGTATACATAGAACTTATAAACAAATATCAATAAAGATACTTAAAGAATAGAAAAAATAATTGAGAGCTGAAAATTTAAATTCAGCATCAGAATGGTTTAAAAGTATTGCCTATTATAAAGGATGAATAATTATTTCATTTGTTTTGGGACTTGAAATGATTTGTTTTTGGTTTTGTTTGTGTATGCAGCTGAACATTTGTTATGAAACAATTCTGTTTACACATCAACTAAGAAAATATTTAGATAAAAAATTATTATTTGGCAAACACACTTTTCTCACAAATGACTAAAAATTATTTAAAAGCAAAAAATAAGTGTATGACTACATAGAAATATAGAAAGATGTTAGACTGAGATGAGGTAATGTAACTATTTACACGATTCAAATTGTTCATACTATTGTCCTTATCTTTATTGTCATATTCATGATGTTTCAGCTATTCCAGCATTCTTCAGATGATATACATTGGAATTTCAAAACAATCTCTTTATTTAGTACACTGGGGTAGATTGTTCTAGTTCCACATGCCATGCGTTTTCTGCATAACTCAATTTCAGTTATTTCCCTTTAGTAACTCAATTCTCCAAGTTTTTGTTCACCTCTGCTGTGGCCAGGTATTGAACTCATAACTCTTAGGGTCAAGTCACTGAGTTACTTCCACCAATGCCTTTATCCATTCAGCCTTGGAGAGTTACTAAAGGAAAAGGCCACTGATCTTCTTTGTCTTGATGTAAAAATGTGTTGGCAATATTAGAGTAAGCATTAATTAGTTAGGCATTAGTTTTGTCAACTGGAATAAACTGTAAAGTTAGAGAAAAGAATTTTTTTTGAGTGAACAATATTTCAGTTTTATAAAAAGCCTCACACTTTGAATAGGTTTCTTCACAACTGTTAGTAATCATAAATTTCTTAATGGGAACAAAATCTATGATAAAATATAAACAATATATTCATAAAATGCAACATGTAAATTATTGAAAAAACTTCATATTATTGACATGATGCGATGCAAAATATACCTTTTCTTTTTTCTCAGAAAATTTTATATTTTTGCATGTTGAGGCAATTGGGGTTTGAAAAGGTTCACCTTTCTATCATTCATTAACCTAAAATATAAATGCAACTGGAATTATTCCCATATAGTCATACATTTACAAATATGATTATCTATGTAAAGTATTTTACTTACAAGTTCCATTTTAAACAAAATATAACTGATGCTATATTTTCTAGTGCTAAAAAATTTACTTGTGGTTTGATATCCCATCAATCAAATATTTGGTATATGTTATATATACATAATGAAAAAGTTTTGTAATCTATAAATGAAACTGACCAACAAACATTTTTGTCTGCTACCCAAACAAATGATGTACTTGATTAAATTGAATATAACAAATCTAAAACTATATTCTGAATTGTCATTGGACTTCTGGTTTTTAAGATACCTGCATATATATTTATGTTTGGAACAATTTTTAAATTAATAATATATTAGTAAAATTATTACAACAACAAAATATATTATTAAAAAATGCATTTATATTAAAAGAAAATTTAGATGATGGAAAATAAGCAAATAATTATGAAACATTTTGTTTTTGAGAAGTGTATTTTATGAGATATCTGGTGTTTCCTATACTGCTATCCTATTTTTTTATATGTTGCTAACATATTTGTTTATAAAATTAACATAGATGTTTTTATGAGACCGAGAAAGTTCTGTACTATTAACATGAATAAATCCCATACCATCAAGTCAAGTGGATATACTGATATACTATTAATATTTATCTTGATCATAAATATACTATGCAGTTATCTAAAATACCTGACATGCTACGGCAATTTTGAGTGTGCATTTAGTCTAAAACACACACTTTTACTTCATTAACAAATTCTTTGTTGCCCTGTGTAATTTTAAAAGTAAAAAGGACTTTCCATACTACTACTAATAATGCAGTTTTCAATAACTACTGTCAAATATTTCTGTAAAAATTTGGTTAGAACTTATGTTTTATTTAATCAATACAGTTGATCAGTGACTTTTTAGGAATAAACTTAGAGGTATGACTATTTAAAAGATTAGTGATAAAATGGTTGTGCATCAATATTTACTAATCTTCCCCATACAACCATTGATTCATCAAAACTATATTATAATAAAATTGTAAACACACATGCAATATTTGAAGAAAAAAAATGAAGCATTTCAAAATGAATAACTTATAACCAAAATTGTTTACACATTTTACCTTCCACATAATTTTCATAAGAACATAAATTTTCACAAGATTCACATAAAATGTCTTAATGATTAATCACTCAATATTCAATATATCATTCTTTTTTTCTTAGGTAAAATTCAAAGAATTGTTGATGAATATTATTGAGAGAAGAAAGTTGTTTATGCATGAAAACAAGTTTGCTTAAAAATATATTTGGGGATAATTAGATTTAATTATCTAAAATTAAAAACTAAAATTAACACTAAAACTGTTGCATTTAACAAGGTCCTACTCATCATTTTAGTTTTCTTTTTTAAAAAGATTAAATAAAATTTCAAAATTTATGATGCTACATATAAGAAAAGTGAATATTTAGAAGAATAAATTACTTATGGTATATCATCAGATCAAAAAATGTTTAAGTAAAAACAGAATCTTCAAAGATGAGGATAACTATTGGATTATAAAAGAATATTTTATACCTTTAGCAGATTGTGTACTCAAGGGAAATCCAAAGTAATGTTGAATAGCATAAACAGTAACACCTGTGTCAACATTACCATGTCCAGTTTTAAATACTTAGGAGCAATCTTGTCTAAAGATGGTACCTGCAACTTGGAAATCCGTACACAGATTGTCGCAACATGACAGGGATGGCCAAATTTGCAAGAATATGGAGGAGTAAAATCAGCTTTCAAACAAAGTACAGACTATACAAATCGCTGAGAGTCTCCATTCTCCTATATGGATGTAAAACATGGACACTGTTGGCAGATAGAGAAAGAAGGATCCAAGCATTTAAGAACAAATGCATGAGAAAACTCGGCATTTTCTATTGGGAATAAAAAAACAATGAGATTGTGTGGAAAATGGTTGAAAGTTTTGTGGGACACCAGGAACCTCTTCTTGCCACTGTCCAATGGAGAAAAATAGCATGGTTTGGACATACTACAAGGCATGGCACTCTGTGCAAGACCATCATGCAAGGCACCATGGAAGATGGATGTAGGAGAGGACACCAATACAAAAACTAGTTGGACAATGTCAAACAATGGACAGATGCCTGTACCAGAATTGCTGATGGCTGCCATTGATAGACTGTTGTGGAAAAGAGTTAGTGTGGCTTCTGCATTCGGATCTGCCCTACAATTACAAAAGTCAAGGGGATGATGATGATGATGATGATGATGAGAAATATTTATGTTTTAAAATCTGTTTAACTAGTTGCAGTTAATTGTTGTAACCAGCAAAGTATTATGGATTTAACAATAAAGAACGTATGTCAAAACATGGCTAATTGGTCCTATAGTGGTGTGAGGCTTAGGGGTTAAAATGGACAGTTGATTTGCCCACTCCAAGAAGATTAATGGAAGATAAGAAAACATATAGGTAATTTTAACAAAACAAGATAAAGAAATTATTTACAAATTTACATTTTTAAAGTTGTGTCAGTAGCTCATTTCAGGAAATTTTTAAAGCCTGTAGTTTTAATGAATTGTCATGAAGTAGAAACGTTAATACAACAGATTAAATGATGACACAAAATAATAAGCAAAAATGTTTAAAACAAGGTAAGAAAGTTTGTTGCTCACAGAAGGAATATATGGTTGCATGCATTCAAAAGTAGACAAAGAGAGATAGTTTGAAGTACTAAGCTTTCTTGAATTGTTGAATGAAAGTTCTTTGAAGTACTGTGTGATTTTTTTTTTAAAGCTGATAATATAAGTGATGAGTAATTTGACACTTGCAAATACTTCAATGCTGGGCATGATGAACAGAAATGAAACCTTTCACATGACTTCAGACACTTATTAATTTAATTTTTCTCTTCATTTTTCATCAAAAAGAATTTCACATAGGCTCGCTATTTTCTTTTCTTTCTTGGCTCAATGGCTAATTTCTGCGAAGACAATGTTTATATTGGTTCAAAACAATTTCACAAACTTGTGAATTTATTTCCATTTTTTTCTCATTTTGCTGGTCAATCTCTGTAAAGGCAAGGTTTTCATTGGTCCAAAGAAAATTTCCTTGGATTGTGAATTCCTTTCCATCTTTTTCCTCAGTCCTCTGAATTTGAAAAGAGTTATTATTTTGCACTCATTACAACCCAACTGTTATCTAAAGGTAATCTACTCTCATCGTCAAATACACACAATACATTGAAACACATGCCCAACATCACATATATAGAGAGCAGCAAGGATTTTTCTTTTCTGAAATTCTTAAAAAGATGTTTGTACTTGTTATGTTTTTTTTTTTTTTTACTGTACTTGTATTAAATATACTAATGGCATAATTTTTTTTTGGAAAGAGTTCAACTTTGGTTATTAATTGGCAATTCATAAGGCTACATGAAAAACTCAGATTTCTACTTAAGTCTTAAAAAAAAAAGAAACTCACATGACATATATAATAAAATAAAAGAACAAATAGGAAACATATATCAAACGTTTCAATTTTATGAAAGCTTCATCAGATTGAGAGAAAAATAA